TAGTCCGGCCATTCGTTCCGTCAACCTGTTGCGGCATTTTTCCCATGGCCGGTGAGCCCCTGTCAGGTAGAAACTAACAAATGGGAACCTCGTTGTGCACCCTTGTAAAGGAAGTAAAGGGCGGCGTAGGGCTGGAGCTGCCCGACAGCAGCCCCCCCCCCATTCTCGACGTCCCCGGCGAGCGATCTGGGTATATCAAGGAAGAGGAAGGAGAAAAGTCGACTCCTAATCTCTACCCATCAACCCAAGATTGTCTTCTTTTCCTTCACCGTGTCCTTTTTTGTCGCCTTTTCTTTTTTTCTTGTTTTTTCTTAACCAATCTCTTTTTAACCCCTTATCGGTTGGTGGAACCCCGTTGCCTGTTCTCATAGCGGTGCTCGCTGCCCCTCTTGTCTATTGCCAGCATGGCCTTAATAGCCTCCTTACCCTTACGCTTCCTCTCCCTTCTCAACCCGGCCGACTCTACGACCTCACATTTCTTCTTCTTCGTGCCTTTCGATTGTTTACTCCTGATTCCTGGGGCCTTCTCTCCCCCCTTATTAGTAGATGTCTTAGAGGACTCCCCTGTCTCATGAGTGACGTTTCCTATAGGCCCTTCTTTACACTTCTCCAGGCGGCCCTCTAGCCGCTTGTTGACTTCTTTCTCTTTATCCTTCTCCGGATGCAGGGTAGGCTCCTTTCGATCTTTAAAGACCTTTAAGCGTGCCCCTGATACCGGTTCCATCCATCTAGCCCCGTCTAGTTCCTCTATCAGATAAGCTCCACCTTCCAGCCTCTTTACCACACGATAGGGCCCCATCCATCGGTTCGCTAACTTCCCTGTCCAAGTCCTTTCTAACGAGGAATCGTAAAGCAAGACTAGGCCCCCCGCAGGTATCCCTTCTTGCCTGACTCGGGTATGCTTGTCCCACCTTTCCTTCTCTTTCCCCCTCTGGATCTTTAGCCTTTCTGTAGCATCCAGGGTATTATCCTCAAGGGTTTCGGCTATTTGCTTGATTCTAGGGACCAACAACTGCTCTCTGGTTGAGACCTCTTCCCAGTCAACCGTCTGCCAAGAGTCGATATGAAATTCTATTGGTAAGGGGCAATGTCTGCCAAACCACAAAGTGTAGGGTGGATATCCCGTAGTCTGCGAATCTTAGATACCTAGGCCACTTCTTTTCCTTCCCATCGCACCATTTGGCGAGCGCATTCACTAGAGACTGATGCCCCCTCTCTACAAGAGCGTTAGTTTGAGGATGATACGCCGTGGATAGCGACACCCGTATTCCGGCTCTCTGGAGCAGTTCCTGAACCTCCTTAGCCATAAACTATAACCCCCTATCCATGACGATCTTCCCTACGCAACCATACCGCGTGATATACTCCGTCAGATACCCACTAACAGCCTTGCCAGTTTTCTTACGTAGTGGCCATGCCTCTACAAATCCGGTCAAGTCGTCCCTAATATCAATGATATAATTCATTCCCCCTTCTCCCTTGGGCATCGTAACTAAGTCCACGTGAACTTTCTGACCTACCGCTGTAGGATACGAGGGGAACAGGGGCTCCTTATATTTGACCACAACCCTTTTTTGACATTCCACGCACGTAAGACAGTATGATTCCACGTCCCTATATAGACCATCCCACCAATAGAGATTCCTGACCTTTTTAAAAGTTCCCTTCACTCCTCTGTGTCCACCAACGACGTCGTCGTGAAGCTCCGCTATTATGTCTCTTTGCTCATCCTCATCACAGACGACCCTCATCGGCATCCCGTTCTTAGGCGGCCTCTTAAAGAGGTGCCCTGCTCTCAGGCAATACTGTTGAGTCTCCTTCCTAACCTTGTTATCCATCTCAGCCTCCCCCATGAGGTACCGCCCTATCTGGTGGTACTTTCCTGTATAGAGGTTCTCAAGGAACAGAGGAGTCCTGCCCGCACTAGGCTCCACTTTTAGAGAGCCTATCTCCATTTGTAAGAACTTGTCGACCCCACTAGGCGACCCTAGGTTCCCATCGTCTAACGGAATTCGCGATAAGCCATCTGCAACCGAATTCTTAGCCCCTGATATCCGCTCCACTACATAGTCAAACATTCTTATATGCATGAGCCACCTAGTAATTGTGGGATCAGTCAACGAAAAGTCTTTCTGTAAGACGGCCGCCACCGCCATTGGGTCGACCCGTAGTACGAATCTTCGACCGTAAATATAATGTCGAAAGACATTCAAGCAGTGTAGCACCCCGAGGATCTCTTTCTTAAACTGGGAATAGTTCCTTTCAGTGGTGTTTAGGGTCTTACTCTCAAATCTGAGAGGTCTCTCATGACCCTCCTGGTCTTTCTGAGCTAAGACTCCCCCAACGGAGGCAGGTCCTGCATCCGTGCATACCACAAATGGTCGCTTCTCCTCATCCTCAAAGTAAGGGACACCAAGAACTTGTCCCCCTTCTTTAAATTCATCCTTTAGAGCTCGCAAAGTATTCTCCTGCTCACTCGTCCATCTCCATTCCACTCCTTTGCGCAAGAGCCTTCTTAGTGGTTCGGCCTTCCCAGCATAGCCCTTAATAAAGTTCTTCCAGAATCCAACCACCCCCAGAAACTGACGTATATCGGTAATATGCCGTAGCGGAGTAGGCCAGTTCATAAGCTTCTCTAACTTCGCGGGATCCGGCCTTCTACCATCCATGTCGCAGATGTAGCCTAGTATCTTTATGGAAGACACTGCCCATCTACTTTTGGTTCCGCTTACTGTCAGATTAGCGTCCTCCAACTTCACTAACACCTTCTTAATATCTTCAGCGTGGGTAGCGACAAACTTCCTTACTCCAGGTCTTATCTCAGTCTCGTCCTTCTCATAGGGTCCTTTGATTGGAAAGTCATCCAGGAAGACCTCTGCCAGGTTCGGTATTAGCTCTCCCAGGACGGCTACCATCGCTCTTTGGAAGACCGCTACGCTATTAGTCCATCCCATGGGTACTACCATCATCTGTATTAGCCCCAAAGGCGTGTGCATTGCAGTTAGGTGTCGGTCCCGGTAATCAAGCGGAAGCTCGTCATAGCCTGAGAAAAGGTCGCAGACCGAGTAAATCGAGCGCCCGGCAGCTCCTTCGGAGAGAAGGTCTGCGTTTGGAATAGACCCGACGTCCCTAACTGTAAACTTATTCGTTTTCTGTAGGTCTTGTATCCATCGGAGCTTTCCATTCGACTTCCGAATGAAGAACCATCAGTTGGCGTAGGCGCTCTCACATGGTTCTGCCACGAACGTTCTTATCTTCTCCTTCAGGAAATCCACTATCATCTCCTTTTCCTTTTGCGCGCACTTCCATCCAGCATCATTCCACGGCACGTGCGGCACCGTATAGATCCTTGCGGGCTTAGCATACCTGGGATCTGTTCTCCCTCTCTCCACATCACAAAAGGCTACTGCCTTGTCACACGCTCTTAAAGTGTCTATTATCAGTTCCCTCTCCTCTTTATTTATGTTTCCATCACCTATGTCCATTCCCTTTATCCTGTCGTCGGTAATTCTTTGCCCTTCAGTAGCCTTTCACTCCCTAATCATATGAGTGATCTCTTCCTCAGAGATCCCTACCTCCCCGGTCCTATCACGGCTGACCGCGGCTGGCTTGACTTTTTGTGCTACTGTTTTGTATCTCTTTCCCCCGCCGTGTGGGGGAATTCCTCCAAAAAAGACAGGTTCACACATCTACCAAACTCGTCGTCGTCAACCTCCTTTTCGTAGGCCATCCCATCTACCACGTACTTACCCTCTAAGTCCTCAACTTCAATCTTAGCCTCTTTCACTTTATGAGGCCCAAGAGTAAGTTCCTCAGGAATCATCTGGCAGCTTCTTGTTTTTAACAGTCCTCTATTTTGTAGGGAAACCTTGTGGCGTTTGTCGAATTCGTTCACAATTTTCAGGGTGACCCTGCTCCCCTCAGGCCCGTCTATGGTAACTGTCTGACTTCCGTCCCGCTTATTCTCAGTAGTGGTGTTGACACGTGTCAGCCACGTTCGTCCAAGGATAAACTCCGACAAGCAATGTTCAACCGTAAATACAGACACGGTGGCCTCGACCCCAGCCACTACGACCTTGGCTTTATGGCACACGCCTAGCGCAGGCTGCTTTAGCTTGTTGGCAGATACCATGGTCATGGCCACACTCCTGTCTACCTCTAGGCCAAGCTTTCGAGCCACTTTATCCTCACAGACGGTAGACTCAGACCCGTCGTCCACTATAGCTTTCATCCTCATCCCTTTCACGGTGGCGTTCAACTTCCCACTACCGAGAACATAAAAGTAGTCGCCCCCACCTTCATTGGCCTCTACACAAGCCACCTCTTTTTTCAGTCGTTGGGACAGAGGTCTTCGTTTCTATCTTCGGCTCGCTCGAAGTCACAGCTTCTGTCAGCGGCACCTTTGCCTTTTTCATCATCCCTATTAGCTCATCCCGCGCCGGCCCACAACTGGCTATGAACTCTTTCAGGGTAATAGGAATGGGCGTATCCATGGCCCTCCTTAGCGGCTCCCTTAAGTCTACCTCATCCAGCGAGGTTTTCAAGTGGAACTTCTTGGCCCCTCTTTTTCTAGGGGACTGAGGTGACTTAGGCGACTCCACTTGTTCGTCTGTCATTGGTTGGTCGTGGTCTTCTTTCTTTCCTTTGCTCGACTCGCCAACACCCTGAGTGCAAACGTAAACCTCGCCATTATTCTCTGTCTCCTCAAACTTAATGGACGAAATTCTCATCCCAGGACTCTCTGATAGCTCATCAAGGTCCTCCTCAAACGTTACTCGGGAGACCTTCGCCGCCGCCGGCTCTTGCGCTCGTTTCCCCTTTGCCTCATTCATCCTTCACCTTCTGATATCCACATTAATTTTCATCGAAGGTAGGAAGGGTTCAGGCTTCCCTTCATCCGCCCACATCACATATTTCCGATCATCTAACTCGATGATACCCTCCTTCAGGGCGTCCATCATGGCCCGACAGTCTCTCTTCTGGTGGTCCTCATCTCCACAGTAGATACCGGCTTTACTGTTCCAAGTCCGCTTCGGACTAGGGTCCCCGCGATTCTCCATTCGGGGAGCAGTTCGAGTTGAAGTCTCTTCTTTCCTTTGATTATTACTTTGTAACTTATCCACCGCCGCCTTCAGGACTTCTATCTGCTTCACATTCTCCTCCTCTCGTCTTTCCGGCCTCCTAACCTCTATCTCTTCCTTTGGCTTCCACCGGCTGTCTTTAGTGTTGGACCATTTGGAGGAAGTCCCCCATTCTCCGTCGTTTTTTTTCCAGTCTCCTCTCCCTCCTTTCTTTCAATCGCTATCGCCTCTGACTGGCTCTCCTCTCCTAGGTGAGCCCGTGCTAACATCCCTTCCTTCAATTCGGGATCTTTTATCCTCATACTGAGGCCTTCCTCCCCCATTGTCTGCAATTATTCCCTTCCCTAAGTTATCGAGATTCCTGGCGAGGTGCGCTTTAGCGCTTTGCCCATCTGTGTCGTGAACTAAAAGCTTGACTTGACCGAACACCACCCTAGATGGGAGGTCCCTCATGATCTTTTCGCGTTTCTCTCGGGATAAAAACCCTAAAAACATCCCGCATCGCTCTATTTCCCCCATAAATCCTCCTTCCACCAGAGGATTAGACGCCTTCTTGTATCTCCTCGCAAACGCCACCAGACTCTCATCCTCTTGCTTTTTCATCTTTTCAAATCGTCTATCGAGTAGGAGGTCTCGTCACATGCGAAGACTCGAGCAACTCTCTCTCTAAACGTCAGCCAGCTCCAGTTATTTGGGATGGTGTCCCTCACTTCGCGATCTATTTTCGGAGCTGTATGGTGGAGGAAGTTCACTATCATATCTTAATCACTCCATTCCGCCCTCATTCCTAACACCTCCCAATCATCTAAGAACTCCGTGACATTCTTTCCTGTAAAGATTGGGGTAAGGGCCCCTCCTGTAAGGTTCACTCGCGGCTTTTCTATAGGCCTCCCTTACCCCAGGATCCGCGAACCTTGCCACCTTTGTCCTGCTCAAAGCTTCTTTCCTCCAGCCTTCGCCCCTAGAGTTCCGTCCCTCCGGTTCTTTGACACGAGTATCTAGTTCTCTCAAGACCCTTCTTATTCTCTTCGCGTCGTTCTCCACGTCGACACCCATTTTTCTGTCTGGATTATTCGTCCTCGATTCCTGTGTTTTTACTTCGCCCCCTATCGAGGTTAGATAAGCCCCTTCAGCATCCATCCTTCCTAACTAGTTCTTGAACACTCTGTCTAACTTTCTGCCACACTTCTTAAAGCGGTTAGGATCCTCTCAGTGGAGCCGTCCAGTAACTCTTTCAGTGCTTCGAAGTCAGCGTCTTGTCCTTCCTCCCTAATCACTAAAGCAGTGGTCAACACAACTTTCCTATAACGCGAGTTAGCTTCCAAGGTTCTCAGAGAAACTTCGTCAATCACGTTGTTAGAAAGCTCCTCAGGCTCGCGAACGTCTTCCCTTAGTCTGGTCCTTGCTTCTACTATGGTCTCTCTCCACTCCTTGAAAAACTCCTCTCCTTCAAACGGTGTCGTGCAGATCTCAATCTTTGCCAATCGAAGTTCGTCAGCTGCCTTCCAAATAGCACAAATCCTAGCCTCTTTAATCGCTCTTCTAGTTGTCTCAGCTTCTTCTTCCTGACTCAGTCTCTCATTATGTATCACTTCTACCCTTGCCCGCACTAAGGATCCTTCAATTTTTGCTCCACCGATTAGCTGATACTTCCTGGTCGTGCCTTCGGTACTAGCCATTCCTCCTCTCTTCGGTTTCTCTGCGGATCCCTCTTATCCTCCTTGCCAGGAATTCTTCCCTCCAGTTTATTATTTTTTCCCTTTCCTCCTTATACATTAAGGCCAGTTCCTCAACCCTCTGTTCGAGCGCTCGTAGTTCTTGCACATCCGTAGAGTCGCTCCACTCCTTATACCCGTCTACCAGTTGTACTATCTTATCGTTTATCGGGTCCGAGTATGCTTCAAGAAATGAATTAACCTTCTCGTCACTCCCTCTCACACGCGCAATTCTGCTTCTTGAACTGTCTCGTCCTTCTCCACTTCGTACTTCAGCCATCCTTGAGACCAAACCATCACGTCATAAGTTATTATTCTTTCTACTCTTACCGGCTCTAGAACCCTAGGTCTCTCCCTTTCAATCGCCCTTTCGGCAAGTTGTCTACAACTTCGTTCGTCCAGAGACCTAGTTGATTGAATTCTAATGACCGACGTCACTCTTCCAGCGAAGGATACCCGATTCACTTCTTCTTCTTCAGTCACTGCTCCCGGCATTGCTCTCAGCATCACTCTCAATCTCGACAGTTCTATTTCGCTTCGATTCCTTCCTCTCACAATCTAATTCTTTACTGCCCTCAAGACCCCCATCGACCTGCCTCTGTCGTCTTTTATCTCATGCTCACCCTCCACTCCAAAAAGTCCCGTGTCAAGATACAATTCCCCTTCTTGGTCATTTAGGCAAACAGCTCCTCTCCTGATCTCCACTCTCCGAGTCCTTGGACACGTTAACCTTCTACAAATCAATGTTCCCATAGTACATAGATCCTCTCGAGTCCATGACCTTAGAAGTCGGAGCAGATCTCCTGACGTCCTCCTGTCAAGATCTCGACCCAGTACCCTTCGAATTACATTTCCGTCTCCCGACCCACAAACTCCGCCTTTGGCCATTCGTACACTAGTGAAGTAGTAGTCACTCTTGTAACTGGGAGTATTCCTCTTGTGCTCGCTTAACCTTTCACACAAGGTCTATCACAGCCGACCAATTATTCTCAGAAACCATGAGTCCTTCGACCGGTGGTGATGGTATCCCAATGAAGGGCCTAACGTAGGTACTCCAAGAGAAACTTTTTCCTTCTCGTTCAAGTCTTCTTTTCTCGTCATGCACTAGGTTCGATGCTCTTTGCCAACACGAACTTTTTTCATCTTCTACAAATCTACGGTGCGGTATGTATATTCCAACATCATACTCATCAAGGTTGGTGAAGTAGTAGGTGAGGACATACATTCCATCAAGTTCCCACCCTTGATTCTTTAAACCTTCATACCTGACGATCTCATAGGGAACCACAACTCTCTTTGATAAAGTGTTAAGGGAGTTGACAAGCCTCTCCGATTCCTCCTTACCCAATCTCCTACATCTTCTAGGTACCATGCAACGACTCATCTGTGCTTTAATCTCCTTCCTTGGATCTCAAGGTCTCAAGTGTCGGAGTACGAACTCCACTATCACCTCGTCCTTCTCATCCTTCAATGCTTCCATAGGGACCGGAGGTTTAGGTATTCGCTCATAAGTTACTATCGTTGTGCTCCAGACGACTTCTTTGCCTTCCGAAAGTAACCTGTCCCTTTCATCTTCCACTGTTTCTTTTGCCCTCTCCCAACATCGACCGTAGATAAGTTCAACCTCTCTTTCTATTGGTAGGTAAATTCGTACATCACATACCCCCGTCCCCAGGAAGCGTACGCCCATCACATAGAGGCGTATCTGTTCCCAACCACTATCAACTGTCTAGTATGTGTCAACCTCGTAAGGAACCGGCTCCCTTCTCCCTAGGCGACTAAGTGCTGCACATACGGTGTTTACTTTCTCCTTCGCTGGCTTGTTACCGGATAGGAACTTTTCCCTCCTTACTTCTAATTCTTTAGCCGAGATCCCTTTCCCTTCACTCATAAGTTAGTTCCTCCAGGATCTCGCTCTAAGCACCATGCCTATCAATGGTTCCCATTTACTCCCGTCAATGAAGCTCTCCGGCAGAGGAGGCTCAGACATTCCTTCGAACACAATTGGCGACAAGTCACTAACAACTCTTGCCCCTTTCCTTTATAACTCCTTTCTCTCCTGACGGATTATATCCCTAATCCAGTTCAGAAGAGACTCCCGCTCTGTACCTCTCTCCCTTAGGGAAGGGACATAGGGCCGGATATCGTACTCACCAGTGTCGAGATGCTTCACTATAAGGATATATGCTTTCCCCGGGGCGTGACTCTCTTCCAAGGATATACAGCGCTCTATCTTGTAGTGAAAAGCCCCCCCACTGGTGAAGGGAACTAGGACGTCCAGGGCTCCCGTGATTCTTGGGCAATACCCAGACATTGTCTAACTCGTAACGCCCTCTCGTGCCTCATGTTCACCCTTCACTACCTAGATCCTTATCTCCCTCACTTTGTGTTCCTAGCTCTCCGACACTAGTGCCGCCCCTACCTTCTGTCTCTCAGAGCAGCGTTTAGGATAGGTTCCCAGTTCTCACCACTGACGAAGCTATTAGGGAATGGTGGGCTTGGAAATTTTTCATACTCCCTGGGTTCCATACTCCATGTAACTCTCTTACCTTCCTTCTCGAGCTCGTCCCTGTACTTGCAGACGTGACTGAGCGCCCACTCGTGACACCCCGTATAAGGCCTCAGAATTCTCCTAGTCACCGGCGTATATATGTGCACAGCATACTCATCGGTTTCCAAGAAACGAGCTACCAACACGTAAACTTTTTCCCCTCGCTTTGGTATGGCTAAAACCGTGTACCTCTCAATCTCATATGGAAACGCGCCTCCCACGACGAGGGGCTCTAAATCCCTTAGCAGGCGTGAAATAATTGAAGAGTTTGTATCTGGTAGCTTCCCTCCTTCGGCTTCTTCCCAAGTGTGCTTGTTCCCTAAGAATTCGTCATATTCCTCCGCCATAGCCAGTTCTTCTCCATCCTCAGAAGAAGGAGGCCCCTGGACGATAGTCGGTCCACGCCCCCAATCTGGGCCACTGCACCTCCCACATGTCAGCCTCGTCTGCGAACAACTCTTCTTCAACCCAATCCTCCTCCTGGGGCTCCTCCTCGTCCTCTAAAGCACCGGTACCTCGATAGTACGTCCTCAACTCGAAGAAATCTACACGGGACCTCTCTCTAACGGAAGGGTCGAATCCCCGCTCGTCGAACAGCTCTGCTAGTCCGGCCAAATGGTTTTGCGGCTCCTGTATGCCCTTGTCAAATGTGGACCAAAACTCGGTCGGCTGGTCCAGAGCAGGTGCTCGCCAAGAGTCTCGGGGGGAGGCTGCCCTGATTAGTTCCACTAATTCCAAGGCTTCGTTGCCAAACCTAGGCCCTTCCTTCCACAAGGCGTAATAAGCGTGGTGCTCGTCACTATACTTAAGAGGCTATGAATCTCTTGGAAGGCCAAATGCACCTGAATCAGCCTGTCAAGTCCTCCTAGGAACGCCTCTAAGACAAATAAGGGAACTGGAAGCCTTATCGCTTCTTCCGAATGTGGCAAAAAACCCTCCTTAGCGAGGCGAAGTGAGACTCTCACTGATCTAAACTCTCAACCCACCCGACTCTCCTCTTCCTGGAATCTTTCGACCTCCTCCTGCAGCACGTTTGCAGCCGGTATCTCGTCCTCCCACGTGTATTGATCGAGACTCGGTATTACCCCGAGGCGTTGATCGCGTCGGCCCTTCTCTACCGCTTTACGGACGACGTCCGCTAGTACTATGGTTTGATAGTAAAGGAAGCCACTTACAGACAATTCTACCGAGGTCAGAATCACCCTCCCTCTGCTATCTCGGTCAAATCATGTTTGAGATACCACCAACAGCCAAACCCCTGGCCTCAATAGTATTGATCTCCAGGTCTTATCTGTCCTTCCTCCGTTAGGTATCAGCGTCGATCTGCCTGGTAACGTGAACTTTATCCAATCTTCGTCGATAAACTCAGGCTCTCTGTACGCGAACTGTCTCAACGCCACTGGGTGCTCTATCTCGTAGCGAGACATCTATACCTCTACGAAACTCCCGTCTAAGATCCTTGCCCTATCTATCTCACCCGAAACGGCCCCTCGCTGAAGTTCAGTCCTAATTCTGAAGAAGACCTGTCTCAACTCCCTACTATTGGGCACCTCCCTATCCAGACAGTAAGTCACTAGCCACACTAGCTCGTCTGTAGAGGGTCTAAATTGGACAGCCTTCCTGAGCGCCCTTACCAACCTCCAATGATGCTCGACTCTCCCATAGACCAGACCTGCCAGGAACCTGGGTACAGTTGTCGAGCCAACGACAGTCACTCTAGGAAGCTCCCAATCGTAAGCGTAACGGACCGAGTACCGAGCTACAGTGTCTGATCCTGCCGAAAAGTCTTGAAATAATCTAGATCCGTACCTATGGTTGAAGGACAATAAACAGAGGAATGCACGACAACCCTTCGCAGCGTCTATCACTAGGAACTTCCACTCAACTGGAGACAAGTATATTCTGATGTGCACCTCGGCGACAAGCGGCTCACTCTCTCTGTCCCTCCTCACGCAAGGCCTGGGTTGACACTCGACCCTTACCCACACGAAAACTCCTTCCCTGACCACTAACCCTCGCTCAGTTGTGGGTCTATACTTACTTTTCCCTTCCAGTGGTAGGTTCACGACATCGTACTGGCCGACCTCTTGTCTAAGATGAATCTGAGTGCCCGATTCGATAAACACCATTCCTAATCAAATGGTTCTCTCACTCGCCTTTCTCCCGTGTTTCATTCTCAGACTGTTGAGCTCACAGATCCTCACGACAATCCCCCACCGATCGCTCCTATATCCCTTCAAAACGTCAACAGGCCTAGGAAAGAACCGCCCTCTGGCGTATCTCTCCCTACCCTCATGTCAAGAAGGAGGATTGATCAGTGTACCATCGGCGCTGGCCTACCACCTACGTCGCGACCTGGACACGAGCTGGCCAACTCATGTGCCCTAGGGTGGACCAAAGTCACAAGCGGCGAAGGGGCGGTGTCTCACTCGTGCATCCTCACGCTCCTATCCATGCCTCTACTCGACCCACCTCAGGCATGGTCTCTCGTCCCGACTCGTGCGGTGAATCAATCCCCCCAGCTATCCATCAAGATCTGGTAGCATGTCTAGTCCCTGCCCACTCCTTGCAATCCGGGGCGCTTCTCCCCTCCCCTTCAATCCCTCCAAGTCATCCCCTGCTCACGATTTTCTCTCTTAGAGTAAATATCAGGGTAGACTGACAAAAGGGGTAGGGAAAATCAGAGTCACCTCTCTCAATCACAAGGAAACAGCAGGAAGGAAATGCATGAAAGATCGCGAAAATGCATGAATCAGCAAATTCACGAAATACAGGAATCACAATCTCACCAGTGAACGTTGATCATAGGTCGATGGGGTGCCGTCTGCCCGGTCGTGCCCGTGCTGTCCAACGTCTCACCTGCTCATCCCGATCACTATCGGCTGGCTCTCCCTTGTCTGCTCTGCTCCAGTCGCCCTCTTCTCCCAAACCTCTCACATTCCCGCGGTTACAGGTGGACCAAAGTCCCGAGAGGCAGCCTTCCCCGGCAACGGCGCCACTGTTGACCGGTAGAAGAGCTCTGCCGGCCTCCAACACAGACCCTATGTCTCGCGCCTCGTCTGTCACCCACGGGAGGGTTGGTCGGGGCTCCTGTAACCTGCACAATCCTCATCAATACACATCCATGACAAAGTGTAGCTCAGGCTGACTCCATGCCACGTGACACAAGTCTCGAAGAGTAGGCCGGAAAAAGAACAATATAAGAGTTTCCATTCAGTCAAGTACAATGGGGTGCTCAGCGCAATTCCCGAACGCGGGTGAAGTCCCCCTGTCTATATGTGTTGGGTCCGTTTGGGTGCCTACAGATCGCGTGGATAGCCTCCGCCTAACTCTCCTTCTGACAAGGGCCCGCCTATACAGTACACGCCTGTCCCATGGAATAGTACTTGAACTCTCAGTGTCAAATGTCTCCTCCCGCGCCCACCGGGGCCATAGCTCAAGGTCAGTCGTGACCATACGTTACAAAGAACTCGATCCGACAAAACACCACTTCAGAGGTCCGTCCGTGAAAGTACCTCTTCAAAAGCTCGGTTCGAGAAAGTGCCTCTTCGGAAGCCCGGTTCGGATGTGCCCCCACGGAGAGGCCCGGTTCGGGAAGCGCCCTTTCGTCGGGAATGTAGTCAGAGTACCCGTTCGTGTGCCCTTGGAGAATGAGTCCCAAGTACCCGCGTGCCCTTGGAGTATGGGCCTAAAAGCGCCTGCCCACGTGCCCGTGAAGAATGCCCCCACTCACGGAGTCCGGTGCAAAAGGCCCCTCTTCAAAG